TTCCTCAGTAGTGTCAATCGTCCTCCCCAATATCAAATCCTGAAATACACAATGAGTGTCAAAGGAATGAGCTTGACAATTTTTATTTTTAGTTAGCTTACTGACAGATAATAAGTTGCAAGACAAATTTGGGACATGTAACACATCTTGGATGGTTAATAAGGGAGATAAAACAATATAACTTTTTCTTGCCACGACTGAAAGAGAGCCATCAGCTATTTTAATTTTGGAATTTCATGCACATGGTTTATATGAAGAAAATAAACTCGATTCACCGGTCATATGATTGGTGGCTCCATAATCAATGATCCATATATGATTAGGAATGACACTAAGATGGGATGATTTTGGGAAGTTATCTTTCTGGGCTATGGAGCACGAAGGTGTTTGAGACTCGAGGAGTTTGTACATTTGGTCTAGTTGTTCCTTAGTGAATGGAAATGCATTTGGGGAAGATTGTGGCTCTTGATCAGAAGTTGCTTGAAGTGCACGACCCTCACCCTTCTTTTTCCAATTAGGAGGATTTCCATGAATTTTCCAACAAGTCTCACGTGTATGAATAAACTAAATAAGTGTAAAAATAATAAAGAAAATATTTTTTTTGGGTTTTTATTAATAACAATAAAAAATAATATTAATAATAATACTAATAATAATAATAAAGGAAAATAAGTAAAATATAATAAGAAAAGAAAATAAAAATGAATTTGGGTCAGGGGGTGCTAAAATGATGCAAGGGTTAGAAAAAGAAAAAAAAGTAACCAAGCCCATGTTGGAGGCCCCAAACTTGTTCAAACAAAAAAGGAACAGAAAAAATGTAAAAAAAAAAAAGAAGCAAAACAGACGCTGGGGCTCGAACCCATGTCCTAAAGGTGAAAGGCGCGCACTTCTACCACTGGGGTGGCTATACATCCGTTTACTTATATCAAACCATAAATATATATTAGAAACTGCTTCCTGAAGACAACTTCATCTTCAACCTCGCGCTTAGCCAGACCACCTGCATCTTGTTCATTTCTCATCCATTTCCAAAAGTGTAAACATGAATCTTGTGGCAAATTTCCTCACGATTTCAGAAATGTAAAGCATTAAAACTATAGATCAAAGACAAACATGAATTTTATTGTCCCTAATCTGAAACCTAAAAAATTCAGAAACTTCAACTCCAAAATTCTCTAAGCTTAAGCCATATAAATGCAAACTGTGGATATGTACAGCTTCGTGGCAATGAGGTCTACATTTTATCTTTGAAAATGAAAGCTTAACAATGCCTATATGAGGAGTTCAAAAATCAGAAAACTCACCTTGCAAATGGAGATCGTGTTTTGAGTTTGAGCAGCTTTTGATGAGTTCCAGTGATTGGGTTAGCTTCCTCAAGTTCCCAAGAAGCTAATGTGATGCTTGGCTTGAGCTAAAAGTGGCTGAGGAGTTCTGGAGAAGTCCACTTGTAGAGCTCTATTTTTGAAAATGGAACTTGATGATGGAGATGTTACAGTTATGAAACAGGGTCAGGGATGAGTTGTATTTGATGTTTAGAAGCTTTAGGAACCAAAAAGCTTGGAAACGCACGAGTGAGGTGTGAGTTTCAAGTTTTTGGTCAGATTATGCAATAATGGAGTTTTTGTGATACAATTCTAAGTTATAGAGAGTTTGAGGGCTTGTGTATGCGTGTGTTTTGATGCAAAATGACTTATACATAAGTAAGGAGAAGGTTAGAGTGCTTGAGAGGGTCAAAAATACAAGATATAGACTGATTGCTATGTTACTTGATTTTGAAGAAAAGTGGGAATATGGTTTCAAGGCATAGTACAAGCATGAGCTGACTTGTTAGAGGCTTGAGACAAGTTTCTTTTGGGTTATAGGTTGTGTGTGATCAGAAGAGAACAAGTGCAAAGCTCAAGAACAAATTTTGTGCCTAAAGCTACTTTTCAAAAATGGCAATGTGCACTTTCTTCCCAAAATAGAAATAAGCATGGGCAATGCATTGAATGCTTGAGTTGAAGCCTCTAACAGCTGTGCCAAACATTAATTATGGAGTGCCAAGAAAGTTTGAGGCCTGCAAAGCAAAGGTTGTGCAGCCTATCATGAATTTGAATTCTTGTTCATCATGAAATTGACCTAAAATCCAAGAATGAAATGCCAACTTCATGTCTTCGATTCTCCTTGCTCAAAAATGATATCAAGGAGTTCTTGGATATTTTATAAAGCTTGTAATGTTATCTACAACCCCTATTTAAATCACTTTTGAAAATTCCCCTTGGAACTATGTGAAAAATTACCATGAAGTTAGGTTAAAATCCTTCCTAAAGTAGGGCAAAATTTAACTAAGTTTTTAAGTTTCATGAACATGTATTCACAAAATTATAACTTGAAATCCATGCATTTCTAGGAGAAGTTGTGTAAATCAATGTTTTAGATCTCATTGAGATCTACAACTTTCATGTTTAAAGTTTCCTTTGAATCATCTTACATCATGGTGAAAAAATGGCTCAAAGTTGTGAAAAATATGAAGTTTTCAACACTTAGAAAAATTTCTAAGTTTGGAAACTTTGACTTTTCAAAATGAAATCTTGAATTTTTGATTTCTTGATGAACAAGTTTCATATTTTGATATGTTTTGATGAATTGTGATCTTTGACACTTGATTTTGACCAAAAAGTCAAAGTTTAACTTTTCACTGTATCAGTTGACTGAGAATCAACTATCAATCAATTGATCTTGAGGGATATTTTGAGTCATGCCATTAGTTCAAAATAATGCAATTGAATCCTTGAGATCATGTTTCCAACCAATCAACCATTTGCTAGGTCAAAAATCAGAAATTGTCTTTTCTCAATCAAAACCCTAATTTTGACTATTTTGCCCTTTTGATGATCTGATCAAATTTCTTGAGGAATTGTGGTCCAAACTTGATCAAATGACATATAGGAGTTTACAATGTTGATATAGATAAAAAAACTATGAAGTTTTACTGTAAATTGACCACAATTGACGTTTTCTCCAATACAGTTGATTTTTAGGTCAATTGATCAATTGACTGAGCAATAATGTGATTCAAGACTTGAAACTTGACATGAGCAATAATGTGATTCAAGACTTGAAACTTGACATGAGCAATCTTGAGGGTCCATAATGATCCATGAAAGTCATATGAGGCATTAAAAGTTCAATTATCCTTGTGCAATCTCAAATCCTAATTTTCAGTCATCAGAGCTTGGAGAGGTGTCTTGAGCTGGTCAACCCTTGTGCAGTCTTTGAACCAAGGGATATCTTTGTGAGAAAATACTTGATAAAATGAGAGGGCAAATTTTGGAGTACAACACCCACGAACTTTTAGTTGAGCAGCGGTTGAATGTGAAGTGGGCGGGTACCTGCAAGATACTCTGATGCCAAAGTAAGAATCTAGACAATCAGAGTGCAAGTAACATAAGTGAGGTAGAATGTGCGAATACCCGACCATCTCATGTGAAAGGGTATTTATAGCCCCTAATGTTGGGCCAAGATCCATGTACTGGACTAAGTGATTTAGACCCAATAACAAGGACTGCCAGGGTTTACGTGAATAATAGGGTCCAACACGTGGCCCCCTCCCTAGTAAAGCGCTCCGAGAATATAGAAACAGTGTACATGTTATTCTCGGAGGACGAGTGATGGTTGACGATGACTAAGGGATACGTTCTCCAATAGGCAGTGGGAGAAATCTCTAACGACTATCTGACTTGAGCATGAAGCTATTGGGCCATAGGCAAAGGCACCATATTGGGCCTCCTCAAGAATGGAGCAAGTGTCAGTCCAGTTTAGAACAGAGAGAAAATGAGAAGATGTGTGAAGAATAGTTGAAAAATTAGATATTATTCATAGAAAACGTACACGTGCGGTATATGAGATGGGTCTTATTTACACATATTGCATGTACACGTCGTCTTATATGACGTCTAGACAATGCATGCACCATCACATATGGTACATAGATATATTTTTATGAACATGCATCATATGAGACGGCGTGTCCACTTATTCCATTTTTAAAATCTGATTATTTACATCATTTTAAAAAAAAATTGATTATTGATCCCGAAAAAATTTCTCAGCTTGCTTCCAAAAATGATTGTAGAATTAAACTCCTCACCATACTTTATGGAAAATAGAGTTTTTTTTTTTTCACTACAATATGGATGTGTACTTTTCTACAAATAAATCATTGACACTACTAAAAAAAAACTCAATGTTAACTTTTAAAATTACTATTTATACTTTTTGAAAATTTTAATAAATAAAATATTTTTATTGTAATTTAATTTTTCAAATTCCTTTTTTTATATCATATTAAACTATTACTTTTTAGAGCTATCCGTTAATTTCTTTATTTTATTCTATTGAATTTTCTAATTCAGCTCAAATTCATATAGAAGAAACTGAAAAAAGATAAATTTATATCATATATTATGTTATTTCACTAAACACAGTTTTGTAGACAAAACAAAAGAAATAGAAAACAAAACAAGTTCATACTCTAATCAACATATATGATATAAAGTTATGATACAATTTTTATACCATATATTTTATCATGTACACGAAATGTACATTAAATATTAAATTTACAATTACACAATACAAAAGGAATCCTATGACTCTAACAACCAATTACACAACATATAAAATCCAAAACAAAAAGCATTTAACACTCTGTTAAGATAGGAACAATATCAACATCCTACTCCTCCTTTCCAGAACAATCCACCTAAACATTATTTAATAATTTAACCTCTTCTTGCTTTTGAATTTTAGAGTGGTCCCTATTTACAGCACAAAAAGTGTCACGTTCTATGCTAAAACAAAAACTTAAAGTTATTACCGTTATTATTATCCAGCAAAGCAAATAAATAAATAATATACTTTAGCTTTAACAAAATCCCACTATATAACAAACACTACGAATATTTGCCAGAACACAGTTACACATAAGAAAGAACTAGTTTTGAGTTAGAGAAAAGAGAATGGGGAGGGAAGAAGATGTTAAGATTGGAGCAAACAAATTCTCAGAAAAGAATGCATTGGGCACAGGAGCTCAGAGTGATAGTAAGGACTACAAGGAAGCACCACCAGCACCATTGTTTGAGCCAGGGGAGTTGAAGTCATGGTCTTTTTACAGAGCTGGAATTGCTGAATTTGTTGCAACTTTCTTGTTTCTTTACATCACTGTCTTAACTGTCATGGGTGTGAATAGATCAACCTCTAAGTGTGCCTCTGTTGGTATTCAAGGAATTGCTTGGGCTTTTGGTGGTATGATCTTTGCACTTGTCTACTGCACTGCTGGAATTTCAGGTCACTTCTTTTTCTTTTACTTCATTCTTACCTGTACTTCATCACTGTTTTATTTTGTTTTAGACTAAACTAATGATGTTTGGTTTGGAACAGGTGGACACATAAATCCAGCTGTGACATTTGGTTTGTTTTTGGCTAGGAAACTGTCCTTGACCAGAGCAGTATTCTACATAATAATGCAGTGTCTTGGAGCTATCTGTGGTGCTGGTGTGGTGAAGGGTTTTGAGGGTAATGCTCGTTATGAGTTGTTCAAAGGTGGAGCAAATGTTGTGAATCCTGGTTACACTAAGGGGGGTGGTCTTGGAGCTGAGATTGTCGGTACTTTTGTTCTTGTTTACACTGTTTTCTCTGCCACTGATGCCAAGAGAAATGCTAGGGATTCTCATGTTCCGGTATGATATCATATATGATATTGTTTCTTAGTTATCTATATGATATATATGTTTCTTTTTGTGGACTATATGGAGTAATGTGATGTTTGTGTGTGTAGATTTTGGCACCTCTTCCAATTGGGTTTGCTGTGTTTTTGGTTCACTTGGCTACTATTCCTATTACTGGAACTGGTATTAACCCGGCTAGGAGTTTTGGTGCTGCTATAATATACAACAGAGACCATGCTTGGGATGACCATGTATGTTCTTGATCTCTTCTTTATTAATTGTGGCCTTGAAATTCTTCTTTCAGAAAATGACTTGTATAATGTTTGAATTTTGTGGCAATTAAACAGTGGATTTTCTGGGTTGGACCTTTCATTGGAGCTGCTCTTGCTGCATTATATCACCAGATAGTGATTCGAGCAATTCCTTTCAAGACAAGGGGCTAATGAATCCATCATCATCATCACCACGTGTTATTTCTTTGAATTACCTATTCGGTGTAGTCATTCTTGTTTATTTGATCAAATCTATGTATATGTAAATTGTGAGCTACTTAAAGTTACTACTTCATGCTCGTGTTGAATGGACTGTGGAGTGGAGATTCTTTCATGTTGTTATTGTGCTTCCTGCTTATGATTTTTTTTTCTTTATTTTTTCAAAAGCAGACTACTGAAATTTTTTTTTTTAAACAAGCCAAATTCAATTGTGAAAATAAAACACAGAATGCTAACAGTATTACCAGATAACAAAGCAAGCAAAACATCAGTGCTACTCCATCCACAAGCTAAACAACAGCTTAACCAACCTAAAAGAGGAATAAAATTGATAAGGATCACACCCACTCCAACACCAAGCCTCTGAGATAAACCCAACCAGCAACTAAGCATCTGGATCCCCAATGAACTCCATCACTCTACTGCACCAGCGGAACCTACCTAGCAGACAATATTTAGAGCCTCGTCTGATAAGAAGTAAAAATGAGGCCTGTGTCCAACATCCAGCACCATGTCTTTGATTGCTCCTGAAATATCACTGCATTTGTCCAGCAATGACAAAACGTGCCACAGTCGTTTCTTACAAAATTCCAAAGCATTAACCTGCACCAGACCAACCGAAATCTCGACAAGAACATAACTTAGCGCAAAAAATGGATGCATTAATGCCTAAACCGATATAATGCATCTCTGAATTCAATTGATATCGTAATGCCAGTTGCATCAGAACCTAAGCTTGCTCTTCAAAGTTGCAGCAAATACCAGTTTTCCCAAACCAAATAGCAGAAGAATCAAATTGCTAGCAAATCAACCAAACCACATTGCTGTAATCAACCAGACCGCTTCAAATATGACAGTGTTCCATGACATTAAATTGACTTCTTTCATCTGACCAGACATACTTGCGTAGTAAACAGAACCAGCCTTAACATACACATATTAATAACACTATTCGCAACAGAGACAAATTGATCACAAGAAAAGTCAAGCTTTCACAAGGTACACGCAATTTGATAATATCTCTAAAGCAATCAATAGGTTACAAAGCAGGCACTTAAGACATCAAACAATCTATGGAAAATAGGTTAACAAAGCAGGCCACTTGGTTCTTCTAAGCACGTTAACGATATATCTCAAGAACTATGCTCTTTCAAGCAATTTATATGACGCCAAATAGATGTCAAGTTAAACATCTATACAAGTTAAACGAGATCATAATGAAGGCCAACCACTATAATCTTCTTTCCAAAAAGCAGAGAGACAGGCACCAGAACACCGTCTTGCATGCTTAGAAAAATATAATAATGCCTAAATATTGTCGTAGCTACTGTTTTATATGCTTTGGAGCAAATAAAAATACAAACTAATAATACAAAGGAAAACGGGAACTACATAAAAAAAAAACTTATATTCATGCATAGACCAATAGAGGTAACAATAGAACTTAAGAAAACAATGTGGGCACATCTTGGTTACTTCAATGATGTCTATGCCGGTTCTCTCTTGATGAGTATGACGAGCTGTAGTAGTCACGGTCACGGTCTGAAATATAAAAATGTGTTAAGGAGATGATATACCAAAAGGAAAAAATATGGCAAACTCAGAAAGACAGATTCATACCATGTGACGAATAGCGCTTTGACTTCTCTGAATGTCCTGCATCCAATACAAACTAAATCATAACCTAAATCCACAACAAAACAATAGTCGTACATATAAAATCTATAAAATACCTGAATCCTTTGCTCTCTCCCTAGAACGATGACCATGATCCTTGAGTTTGACCCTCTCAGATTCTTCTCGTTCACGTTCTCTATCGGAATCCCTTCCCCGCTCACGATCCCTGGATTTTATTCGTTCCCTCTCTCTGTCCCTGTGTAACTCCCCGCTGGCCTCCATTTTACGGTCTGGTCTGGACCTTAGTGTGGGTTCATCTTTTACGTCTCTCTCAGCAGCAATGCTTTTGGATTCATCATCAGACTTCTTAGCATCGTTCAACTTATCACTGGCTTGCTTTACCAAAGCACCCTTGCTACCACTCACGTCAATATTAGCTTCTCCGGGAGCTCCCTTCAACGCTGACGTCTCAGGATTAATTGGTGAGCTACTTCGTGGAGCGTCCTACAGATTGGCATTGATTGTCAATAATACAGATTTACAAAAGCAAACATGGTCTCATGACAGCCAAATGACACTTAATAATATTGCACCCCTAATGCAGATTAAAAACAAAGGGTTTGAGTTCTCCAAATAAGGGATACACTTTAAAAGATAAAAATTAGAGTTTATACATTAATTGAAAACATCAGGAGTATATGTTAACGGAGACATTATTTATATACTTAGGCGTACATAAACAAATAACTTGTCGTTATTTCAACCACACTATAAACGAGCAAATTTTTTAAATAAGGGTAAAATTGACCATCACCTTTGTAGCTGAATGAGACTTTGATTCCAATGATTTATTGGAGAATGTAAATGAGTCCCAGTCCTTGCAAATTGGTAAATATTGTGCCTTCGGAAGACTATAAAGGTGAGCCAAAACCCTGCAGACTTCATCAATCCCAGACTTTTCTGCATCAAATGCCTTCCACCATGGTGGATTCTCAGGAAGAGGTACCTGAAACCTACGAGCTGCAGCATATACAACGCCACAAGCCACAACCTCGCTCTTAAATCTAACACACAGTGTAGTGCGCAAACTGCATAAAAAAAATCTAGTTAGGTAGGCATATGAGTAAGAAACAGCCGAGTGATGTGGTAAAAAAAATTGAATACAGGTCATAACAAAAGATACGAACACGCATTTTGGTCGGGCAACTAAATGAGTAAATAAATTGTGTATTACACTATTCTGTAATAGGATCATCTGTTTGTTTGACACACAAGATTATAAGAAGCATCAAGTGTTCACTAGTAGCAACTAGTAAAACAGGTCCAATATCGTAAGAAGCTACTGAATAAGAGAAAAATACAGGCATGAGATGGTGAAACCACATGTTTAAACTACACGCAGAGACTATTATATAGGCTCTGAAATTAGCAATATAGAATCACAACATTTATTACATAAGAACTACAATATCAAATCAGCAGAATATACTATTTATGCAAGTAAAATATTCTTCATAACATCCACTCATTTGAAAAATACGACGAGTTTAATGGGTTCAAATATATCACAAAATGTCAAAACTTAGTACCATGATACAGTCACACTTGCTGCCTAGCCTGTACAATATCCTAGAAAAGATCAATTCATTTTTAGAGCAACTTATGTTTTTCACTTTAACACTACCAGTGCCCACAAAGAAAGATACCATACATCAGGTTGTGAACAAAAGGGTCATGGACAGATTTGTTTTACTTCATTAAATGTGCTAAGAGGATCAGTCCATCACATGACATTCTATGTTGCATCCAAGTATAAATGACCTTGACAAAATATCCAAACTGGAGACTAAGTGACTAACTGACTAAGACTTCAATAGAAGCAAGCCTTAAGAAATATAACATCAGAAAAGATACACTCTAATTCAGGGATCTCTAGGGACTGTCGGAAAAATGACTCATATGTACTGTGTCAACTGGAGCACATGTGCATGTTGAGAATATACACAACAATAATAATAATATCTCCAATTATGTACCTATCATTAGCCAGATTCCAAGCTTCTTGCCTCAATTCTGGAGGTGTTTCAAGGGTAGCAAGGTAGTTTGAAATAAACTTGTGAGGATGTTCAACATGACAAATGAATCCCATTTCTTTCAAAATATGTCTCTCCGTTCTACTCAGCTCCATTTTTAAATCAACATATTTCTGTTCAACACAAAGAAAACAAAATAATTCAAATGACTATAAACTAAATAACTCATTGCTTGTATGCGATAGTGCAGCGAAATGATCAATGGACAAAATTCAGAAACAATAATATTGATCATCCAAAAGAGACGGAGCTCTCATACAAGATAAACCAGAGCCAAGCTCCTCATAGAAGAGAAACACATTATCTCTGCCTACCCACAAGGGTCCCAACAGAAAATGGTTGATGAATGCCAATCCCACTACGCCTAATAAGTTCTTTGGAATATCTCCTAACTAACTGCCAGTAAGCAGATATCTAATTCTCTCCCTTTTGCTTTTTCTTTTTCTTACACTCATACACCTTCCATATCATGGGCATGTCAATTGTAAACCCATTAAGGCATCTGCTTTAAAATCTCATAGTTTGGGCCTAGATCCATTATTCTATCAGTACGTGAGCTACAAAAGTTAAAGGGGGAAAATGGGATCTTACAACCTTGGAATACAAGTCTAAATGATCGATGGGCAAGTTCTCCCTCCTGCATTCCATCCTATGAAAAACAATAAGTACTTGTCTGGCTTTTCTCGGGTTTTCCTCCAGTTTTGAAGCCAGCCACACCGAGCTTGCAGCAACTTTCTGCAAAAAGAAACGGTATGAGCATTTTAATTCATTACACACAAGAGAGGAAAAAGAGTAAACAACATGCATACATATCAAGACCTTGACATTAAACCGTGCAAACGACTTCTTGCAATAGAAACGATGAAACAGAACCTGCCCAGTGGCCATAACTGCTTGTGGTCTGTCTCACAGTAAGTTAAGGTAACAAACTAAACTGAAAGCAGAGGATTACATTGAAAATGAAAATAATAATACAAGTAAGAAAAAGGATACAATCTCAGCAAAATGCCGCTTTCTTGGATGAGATCACAGCCATAGATTCTAAGGGCGATTTCAGTAGCTTCATCTATGCCATCTTTTCTCGAAGGAGAATTTGTTAACTGCTCATCCGTGAGGTAAAATGTATCAATTGCAGTGTAGATCATCTCTCTATGCTCCCTTAACCCTAACATAATCATAACAATGATTCATTGAATTTCAAACAAAAAAATAAACTGTTAAATAAATCTATATCGGCATCCAAGAATTAAAACAATTTAGAACTTCAATTCCTAAGAAAACGTGATTTTAGGGTAGAAGCTGTTTAAGAATCAACCAGATTAAAAAAACCCTAAGTAAGAGAATATTTAGAGTTACTCTGAACAATGCCTAGGGTTTTCAATTTCCCAGTTTTCATTTCAAAACTTAAGCTAATATGGATGATGGATCGAGGCAAAATATAAAAGAAAAATTCAGAGAGAAAACCTGTTATGGTTGATATCGTCGTGTATTGTGGTAGACAGCGCCGCCGGTGAGTACCGGACGGAGGTTGTAGATTTGGAGCGGCGGTGTCAGTGGGGGTTGAGCCTTAACCGTCTTCGCAGTCGAAGTGGAATGGATTGGAAACCACAGCTACGCCATGATACATTGAATTTAATAAGGAAAAAATATAAAAAACTTAATATAATAAAATAATATACTACCAAGATTATTTTGATATTTTTGAAAAATTGAATGAGAGGCTTAATTTCAAGAACATTATAGACAATTTGAAAGTGTAATAATGATTAATAAAAAAATTTAAAAAATTATGATCAATAGTAATCCAATTTAATACGTGGCAGACAAACGCTGGTGAGCATAAATGTCATTCCATGACATATATGTTTATTATATTATATATTGTACAAATTTAAAACAAAGCATTAAACATTGATTTGTGATATTAGAGAGTTTTTATGAATACTTTTTTATTTGGGTTTCTTCAACAAGGTCGAGCTTGTCTTTGAGGGTCTCGTCGTTCATCTCCTCGTCGAGGGACATTTCAATTCGCCTAGATGGCTCTATGATTTCTACCAAGATGACGGCCTCGGTGCTGTAGGTCAGTCGGAATGGTGTCTCGCCAGTCGTCGAATGGGGTGTTGTTCGATAAGCCCATAGGACGATGTGTAGTTCTTCGACCCATCCCCTTTTGGCTTCGCCCAGCCTGCGTTTGAGTCCTCGCAAGATGATCCTATTTGCGGCTTCGGCTTGCCCGTTAGTCTGGGGGTGTTCGATCGAGGTAAAATGTTATTTGGTGCCGAGTTTGGCAACAAAGCTTTGGAAACCTTGGTCGGTGAACTGGGTGTCGTTGTCCGTGACGAGCGCTTGTGAGATTCCAAACTGAGCGAGCACGTTTCATTTGTAAAAACGGAGAATGTTGTGCGAGGTGATTTTCGCGAGGGTTTCTGCCTCTATCCACTTGGTGAAATAATCTACAGCCACGACGAGAAATTTGTTTTGGTGTGTCCCTTGCACGAACGGTCCGAGGATATTCATTCCCCACCAGGCAAATGGCCACGAGGACGATAGCGTATTCAGCTCGCGCGGGGGAGCGAGGTGCATGTCGACGTGTCTTTGGTACTTATCACATTTCTTGACATGTTCTTTGGCGTCTTGTTGCATGGTCGGTCGGTAGTACCCCACTCGCAATGCTTTACGCGCTAGGGACTTTATGCCCATGTATTGGGCGTTGATTCCTTCATGGATTTCCTGTAGTATCTCGGGGACCACGGACTCTTCGACGTACTTCGAGAGTGAGATGGAGAATCCACTGCGATACAGTTTCTGCTCGAGAACGACGTAAGAGCATGCTCGTCGTTTGGTCGCAGCTGCCTCCATTTGGTCAAGAGGAAGTTCCCTCTTCGTTAGAAAATTGAACACCGGGGTCATCCAGCATGAACCGTCTTCGATGACATTCACCTCGAGTAGGACTGTGGGGCGTTCAATGCTCGAGCGAGATAGGGACTCTTGTATGACTGATTTGTTTCTGCCCTTTTTCTTCGTACTCGTGAGTTTTGAAAGTATGTTGACCCGTGTGTTTTGTTTGCGTGGTACGTGTGTAATTTCTACTCGATCAAACTTTTTCACGTGTTCTTTGACCAGGTTTAAATATTCAATGAGGTTGTTGTTCTTAGCCTGGTATTCCCCTTGAACTTGCGACACGACGAGTTGGGAATCAGTGAAAATTTGTAATTCTCGAGTGCCCAAATCCTCGGCCAGTCTTAGTCCTACGAGCAGAGCTTCATATTCTGCCTGATTGTTTGAGGTCGGAAAGGAGAGAGTGAGTGAGTGTTCGATCACGACGCCCTCCTCATTTTCAAGGAGGATTCCTGCTACACTCCCAGTCGAGCTGGAGGCTCTGTCCACAAAGATGGTCCACTTGTGCTCCTTCTCTGCGAGGGAGTTGAGTGTAGCCATCTCGGCAACAAAGTCGGGCATAGCTTAGGCCTTTAGAGCCTTCCTGCTTTCATATTGGATGTCGAATTCCGAGAGCTCCAAGGACCACTTTAACATTCTTTCGGCCATGTCTTGTTGACCTAACAGCTGTCTTATCGGCTGGTATGTTTGTACAATGATCGCGTGCGCGAGGAAATAGTGTATGAGCCTTCTCGATGCGTTGACGAGGGTCAAATCCACCTTCTCGATCTGTTGGTATCTGACATCGTACCCTTGAAGCGCTTTGCTCGTGAAATACACGGGTTTTTGGCCGTCATGAGTCTCGCGAATGAGGTCCGCACTAACGGCTTCGACGGAGATGGCCAGATATAGGAATAACGTCTTCCCGTCGACCGGTCGTGATAGCACGGGCGGATGTGAAAGGCTTTGTTTGAGATGGAGAAGGGCATGTTCGTATTCCTCGTTCCACTCGAAAGCTGCCTCCTTGCGCATGAGTTTGAAAAAAGGCAGGGCGTGTTGAGCAAATTTTGCAACGAAACGGGAGAGTGAGGCGAGCATACCGTTCAGGACTTGTATGGATTTTTTCAAAGTGGGTGTAGGGAGGTCAGACAACGCCGGACATTTGTCGGGGTTGGCTTCGATTCCTCGTTCTGTTAGGTAGAAATCGAGGAACTTGTCCGTCTTAACTCCAAAGGTGCATTTCTCAGGGTTGAACCTCATTCTACATTGCCTTGCTTGGGCAAAGACTTTCCTGAGATGAGTGGTATGGTCGGTGTCTACTCGGGATTTGAAGATCATATCGTCCATGTATACCTCGAGCATATCTCTGATCTCGTTATGGAATACTTTGTTCATTATCTGTTGATATGGTGCTCCTGTGTTTTTCAGACTGAAGGGAATTACGTTGTAGTAATAGTTGCCCGAGCTGGTCATTAAAGAAGTGCAGTGTTTGTCGCTCATTGCCATTGAGATTTGGTTATAGCCTAAATAGGCGTCTATGAAAGATAAAATTTTATAGCCGACCAAGTTTTCGACCAGCATGTCAATATTAGGCAAAGGAAATGCATCTTTGGGGCATGCCCGATTAAGATCGGTATAGTCAACACACATACGCCATTTTCCATTACTTTTCTTAACAAGTACAACATTAGACAGTCAGGTTGAATATCGGGCTTCTGAAATAAAATTTACCTCTAGGAGATCTTTTATAGCTTTTTCAGTAGCCTCTGTTTCATACGTTGTACTACTGCCCTAGCGGCTGGATCAATGGCGAGTTGATAACAGGCGACCTCGGGGTCGAGACCAGGCATCTCTGCGGCGCTCCACACGAACAGATTTGCATTCTCCCTCAAGCAGGCCTTGATCTGCTTTCTCGCTAAGTCAGGGAGTCTTGTGCCAATATTCACCCTTATGCTTGGGTCTTCACCGAGAGGGACGAGCTCGAAGTCCCCATCCATAATTGGTCGGAGGAGCTCTTGCTTGCCGCTCGAGGGTTCGTCTTGGTCGAAGCGAGGGTCCAGCAAGATCGAATCGACCTTTGGAGGAGCCCTCTGCACTTCCGCTCTGATGGGCTATGGCTCTGACTGCTGAGGCTCTGGTCGCGCTGTTGCAGCTTTCTTGGCAGGCCGTGCTCCAGTGTTGACTGTGCTCTGTCCCTTGGTCTCCGTGTTGAAGCATCTTCGGGCGGCTGCTAGGTCTCCTTGGATAGTGGCGACCCGTGCCCTCTTTGTGTAGAACTTCATCTTCAGATGGACGGTGGAGGGCACCGCGGTCAACTCTGCCAGTGCCGGCCTCCCAAGGATGCAGTTGTAGAAGGATGGGAATTCGGTGACGAGGAAGCGCACCTTGACTTGCCTGGTAGCAGTATCTTCGCCGAAGGTGACCATAAGCTCCACATACCCCCATGGCTTGAAGGTCGAGCCATTAAAGCCCTGCAAGTCTGATACCATATATGGTGAAAGGTGAGAGTGGTCGAGCTGCAGGGTTCTAAAAAGCTGGTTGTACATCACGTCGATGGAACTTCCCTCGTCGACCAGGATGCGATGAACATCAAAGTTGGCCATTCTCGCCCTGATCAGGAGAGGGATGGTTGAATTGGGGGCTCCTCCGGGCAATTCCTCGAGGTAAAAGGTGATTAGCTCCGATCTACCCTTAACCCTCTCGAAGGTCACCGTTTACGGGGGAGACGCGTCGACCAGCTCGTCGAATTTCCTCTTAGTAAGTCATTAAACCCTCTACCATTTATGACCATAGCAGAGGGGAAGTTTTCCCACTTTTTGTGCATGGACAAAGGCTTTTGCATATGTTCGGGGACGTAAAAGTCCTCTGGTCTCGTAATGGAGAATGCGGTCTGGATGGGTGTGATACGGTGGAAGAGAACTGACTGTTTTTGGAATGCTGGTTTGTGTTTTGCGTTTGTTTTCGCAAAATGTCGCGGTAAGCAAGAGTCTCCACCGTCTTTTATTTTATCCAACTAGGAAAGGAAAAAAGCACAGAAAAATTCCTTTTTCGAGATATTTCTCGGGTCCGGGGGGTAGATTATAGAAAGGGAAGGTGTTAGCACCCTTTCTATCTGTGGTTATCCACGGGCTCTTAGGTACTTGCTCATAATGTTTTCAAAATTTTGCTTTCTTTGTGTTTGTGGGTTTGAAAAAAGTCTTTGTTTGAAAAGGAGTGTAAGTGTGAAAAAGATTTTGTTTTGGAAAGAGCAAGTACTTAAGAACCATTT